GACAGAGGACGTCAATTTGAATCAGAGCTGTTCCGTTCTTTAATGAAACTAGCCGGAATACACCTCGTTCACACGACCGCCTACCACCCACAGGCTAACGGCCTCGTCGAGCGTCTCCACCGTCCCTTGAAGGCGGCACTCATGTGCCACTCCGACGACCAGTGGATCAACGCTCTGCCCGTAGTTCTCCTAGGCCTACGCAGCGCCTTTCGAGCAGACCTCCACGCTTCCGTCGCAGAATTGGTTTATGGCGAACCACTTCGTTTACCTGGTGAACTGTTGACACCGTCTACGCAGCCTCCACCAGCCTACCCGGTTTTCGTCTCAAAGCTTCGCCAGCACTTCACAGCGCTGCGCCCAGTCCAAGCATCACGCCACACTGTACCCAGAGTTTTCATTTTCAACGAGCTTGCCTCAGCAACACACGTGTTCCTGCGCCAAGACGCCGTAAGAACATCCCTCGTACCACCGTACACTGGACCGTACCCGGTGCTGGAGCATGGAACCAAGACATTCCGAATCCTGGTCAAGAACAAGCCCACCACCGTGTCGGTGGACCGCTTGAAGCCTGCCCACATGCTTCAGTCACAACACCTACTTCAGAGTGCCTCTCCAGGACTTTCAAGTCGCCTGACCAGTACGACTGGCGATCCCGATGACGTCGAATCCAGCCATATTTCACCGGAAGTCCGTACCACGCGTTCCGGGCGTCACGTCCATTTCCCAGAACGCCTTAACATTTGAAAAGGATGCCCTAAACCACACTGTGGGGGGGTAATGTGGCGACTAGTAGAGCCACCTGTCGGCTGCTGATCCAAATGTCCTGTGCACCGACAACTAGCGCCATCCATTGGCGTTGGATCAAGGCTAAAGAAACCGGGAGATTAGAAAAATCAATTCGCCTGAATCAAGAAGGTTTATTTATAAAAAGATGAACTTATTATGAATGTTTGATATTATTGAAACAGACAAGGTGTCAATATTCCGTTTTTGTAACTAAATACATGAATAAAGTGGACTAAGTTATATAAGAATCCGTGTATAATTTAAGTATCCCACAAACCATTAGCCCTTATATATAGTTGTGATCAAAAGAAGAGTTTACTGAAATATGTGGTACATTTTTTTCTTTTAAAATAGCCAAAATTTCTTCGTTTTCATTCTTATTTGGATTTTTAATTGTCTCTTTTGCCTTATTTTTCTTTTTCTGAGTAGAAAAAAAAACATTTTTGCGGAACGAGATTTTGCGAAGCAGATAGTTTTTTTTCATCCTTAAAACTTTTCTTTTCATTTTGTTTTGAAGTGGAAGGCAATTGAAGTAAATTTTTGGCTGTATGAAGGTTACTAATTACCTGCTGAAAGACACTATCACTTACAGGATCAAAATCATAATTTTTAACTAATAATTGTAAATTTGATATTTCTTTTAAAACCTTATCCTTTCGATCACATCTATTTACATTTTGGCTGTTGGTTGAATTAAAAAAGTCTAAACACTCATTAATTGCACTAACTTCCTCCACCTCATTTGTTACACCTAGCTCCTCCACCACTGAATGATTAAAATGTAATGAAGATGAAATATTTACATTATTATTATCATGCAAAACTACAAAATGGATATGTTTACAAATAACAGCGTTGATAAAATAATTTGGACATGTACAACTAAATTGGTGAACACATATATCACAAAATTGGCAAATTAAATTACAACATTTTTCTGAAGTTGTCCTTTTCACAACATATTTTTGTTACTTACTTCCCATATTCCAGGACTTTGTACACTTATATCAAAGCTAGAACAAAGTTATAATTTATGAGATTTAAAATTTTCTTGGCTTTTGCAAGTGCGTTTTCCTTTAGTGTGTTTTATTAAGCGATCTACAGTTTTATCTCTTAAATATTTAAGTGTCGCATGCAACCCTTTATCCAGTCTTTTCACACATTTTCCATTTAAATAAAAATACTTAATAACTTTATGCATGCTTTCTAGCCGCATATTGGTGTTGATTCCGCAGTCTTGACGGAAATAATAGGACCACTTTTGATAACACTGTGCAACACAAAAAATGAACTGGGATCAAATCTGAAAAAATCGAATCTAGGCAACCCCCAAAACAAATCCTTTAAGGGGTTTTACCAGTTTAGCTCGAATAATGGAGATATACATATATCAGTGGCGGCTCGTGGCAGTAAAATTTGTGAGTTCTGCCAGTGGGGTTTAAAAAAATGTGGCGCAGTGGGCATTTAATTAAATGGTACCTACAGTTAATTAATTAAATCATAATTAAATCATACACCACATTCATTCTTACAAAAGAATACAACAACAACACAAAAATACACCGAATTAACAAAATTACGGTATTGAAATGGGAGCCAGAACTCGAAAGTGGCCCAGCTTTGTTGTATTGTAAGCGTTAAGCGTTAGAGACCTTTACCGGTCGTTTGGATGACTGTAGTGGCCAAGTACGGCGAATGTTTATAATAAAAACTTTTTATGCAGCCATGCGTTTGAAATATTCATACACTGTCGCACTTAAATATTAAATAATTAAAAAATTAGTCAAGTAATAAGAAAATTTTGGGAGTTCTGCAGCTCTGCAGCCCTTATGCACTAGCCGCCCCTGACATATATATATATGTACATATATCTTCATTATTCGAGCTAAACTAGCAAAACCCCTTTAAAGATTAGTTTTGGGGGTTGCATAGATTCGATTTTCCACATTTCATCCCAGTTCAAATTGTAAGGTCAAAATTTGTCGCACAGTGTAATTATATCATTTGACAAAAATGCACAGTTATTTCCAACTTTTAAAGTAAATGTCCAATCATTGTAAACCAGTTTTGAATAATATTTTTTATTATCATGCACTTTTAGAGGTAAGTATACCAGAGATTTCAATTTTTTAACATTAATGTGCCTTTCCTCATAAATTCTATTAACTAGGGAAAGGTGGGGTAATTCTGCGCATCTAAGCAAAATCTCTAGTATCTTTGTTAAGTTTAAATGTGAAATTTTGCAATTAATACCAGCGATAGTCTACTATGTTTACTATGTGTATATAATGCGCAATTTATAAAAAAAAATTGTTTGGTATGCAAAAATTACATTTTTTTAAATAATGCATTTGCGCAAAATTACCCACCTATCAGGGTAATTTTGCGCATCATAGGGGGAAAATTTGCGCTGTATAGAGAAAGATTTGTAGGTATCTAAATAAACCGTTTATTTCTATAATATTATTATATTAAAACATAAAAATAAAACAAAACTATTTTCTCTATGAAACAAACAAAACAAACAAAATCAAAAATAAATAACTAAAAATAAAATTTTTGTTCTTAGAAATAAGAGGGTCTACATGCAGCAGTTGTCACATATGTAGTTTTAGGGTTTTTTTTTCGCTACACTCCGCGTGTGCCCAAATGGAACTGTTTATGCTGAACAATCTGGGCTCCTGTACCAAAAGCTCCCATATTGGCCAAATTTTGCAGCGCAAAATTACCCCAATTTTTAAGCGTAAAATTACCCCCATTGCAAGAAAAATATAGTGATACTAAAAAACATTCCAAAAGTTAACCTAAACAATTTAAACATACACCAGATTACGAGGAAAGATCATATAAAGTTGTGTTATAAACATTTAAGCGATTGGACAGAAATTTAAACTTAACTCGTGGCGGAAACGACATGGATTTCTTAGATCAACGTACATGTATCACAGTTAGCTAGTGACCATGGTCACTAGCTAAAAGCTACAAGCTTAATTGCGGTACACTTTAGTCCCCGTATACCCAAAGCAACGTTTCCAAGTTTGCAACATTTAAAAAATGTATTATTTACTTCATATCTGGAAGAATTGTTTATGCGTAAAATTACCCACCGCGCAAAATTCCCCCACCTTCCCCTACTTGTTGGATAGATTGATGGGATTAAGGGAATTATAATCTCTGGCCTCTTGTGCAAGATGTATTAAAAACATGAACATTATATATGCAAAATGGCCATAAATCTGAATAGAGTTCTTTACAAAGAATTTAAGAAGTTCATTAGCATAATCATTATAAAGGCAATTTAAATTTTCGCTTAATAAAATTGTTATGGCAAATTTAAGTACATTATGTTTGAAAATAAATGTGCTGACAAAATATCACATAGAAGTAGTGTTAAATATAATAAAAATTGTCGAAATTCTATTGCCTTCCAATGCTCAAGTTCATTAAGAGACCTTGGTTTTCTATTAAATTCAGTAGGCCAATAACTCTTAATTAATATAAGCCTATTTTCTAAAATTTCAAGTTGACTGGGTGTTAAGCGGTACAGTCTGCTCCCATCCCTCCACAAATATAGTAGTTTTCGCATAACACCAAGGCATACTGAATGCATATAGTCTATAGGAAACTGAGATATCATACCAACATTAATATCACATAAGGGACTTGTACCCTTGTGGCAATCGCCATATTTATTATTAGAAAAATCAATGTCATTTCTTATTTGAGCATTTAAATTTAGAAATACCATTTTCCTATTGATAAAAGTTCCTTTGCATTCACATTTATCACAACCATAATAAGAGTTGTGACCCATTACTGTTCTTACATATGCACGTGCTGGTGTCACAGCAAAAAGTTCTGCATTTTATTGCAATAACAACATTATCAAATTTTAAAAGATTTTCTTACAAATCTTTGACTTCTTTAACAAAGTCTGCAAAAAATTCTTGAAAAGGTGGTTTACCTGGGCCACAATAAATAGAAACAATAAAAGGAGGTTCTGAAGAATAATTGGATATTTTACATAAAATGGGCCAAAATGGCTGTTTGGTACTTGTATGAATCTAAATTATATAAAACCTTATTTATATCTATGTTGACATTTTTTTTAACTAAAATGATAAAATAAACCACTGCCCATTTGAATAATATTAGTTTTCCTGGGTGTATTCAATAAAGTACGGGCATCTTTGGGAAGGTCATTAATATTTGGATCAGTTGAAAACCACTGAAGTACCTAACTCATTAATGGCATTGTGACTTATGTTGTTTTTAAGGGACCAATTTTTTAAAAAATGACATGAATTTCCTTTACAATTACCAAGCTCATTTTGCACAGGTAAATTAACGTAGGGTTCTTCGACTTCAGAATCAGAACTGGAACTATCTAAGTTGTAGGGTTCTTCAACTTTAGAATCAGAACTAGAACTATCTAAAACGTATGGTTCTTTAACTTTAGAATCAGAACTAGAACTATCTGATAAATAAAAATTGTTGCCTGATTGTATGTCTTTGTTTTTAGGTTTAATATTTTGTAAGAAACTTGTCTTATAATAACTCGTTGATGGCAAACTTTCTGGGGGATTAAAACTATCTGGCGTTGATGTACATTCTTTTTTGAGGGAGCAATCATCAACGAGACATTTCACCTGTTCAGCGATTTTTTGTCACAAAAAAGCACAAATTCACTATTTATAGTTTATAAATAGCCCTCGGTGGTGTAGTAGTTAGTACTGCGGACTACAAGCCGAGAGGTCGTGGGTTCGGTTGTTTATTTGTGTTTGTCATTGTGTATTTCTGTAATTGGGCCTGGTGCCTGTTGAAAGCACATTAAAAATAATAAAATAAAAAAAAAATAAAAAAAAATAACAGTGGCGGCTCGTAGGTTTTGAAAGAGGGTGGGCACAAAAAACTTACCTACTAATTTTTGTACATAAAGTCCATTCTCCTATTTTTCATGCGAGAAAAGACTGTCTAACTGATCGCGTACCTATGTCTACTTTGCCTATGATACTAAAATCCATGCATGCATTCATGTGAGAAACTAAATTTTCGTGTTTCTTAGCCCTATCTGCGATGTGTTTTAAATCATCTAACCCATGTTGAGTCCACGCACTAATCTCTTTTTTGAAAATTAAGCACATAAATCAAAAAAGCTTATTTGTTACTGAACAACCGCATATCCACTGGTATTTATCATATATACTGTTGAATACTCTATTGTAAGTTCGGCCTTTACCTGTGGAAGTGTAGTTTATTCGAAGATCGGGAATAGGTCTTCCTTTTTCCTTAATTAAAAGTTTATCTTCATGTGACATCGGCCTTTTAAAAAGATTTTGCACACAATTTACTTCCGCTGGTTCCATTATTGTTAATAAAAAATAAAGTTTATTTAAAAAACAAAACACGTAATTCACAACTCAAAAAATACAACAGCGCGCGGCGACGAAAAAGTTAGAAATCAAACTAACCGACAAAGACAAAAGCTCTCTGCAAACTGGCTACAAGAGACCCGGCGCTCGTGCACCGAGCCTCGGTGCCCCAAATTGACGATATATTCGCGTACTGCGAGGATAACCGAAGATCACCGAATATAGCTTGGAATGGGAAAATTTAAAATTGTGCCCCGGCGCAGTGTTGCCAGATTCGCAATCTGGACGGCACAGCGTTTTGCTCGCTGCAGCGTTGCGTAAAGAAGGTTTAAATCCAACCGTTTGAGCGGACGAAAGGAAGGTTTGAGACAATCCTTAAATAGTAATTACAATGGTGTTACGTAAAACTAAAATAATGCACAATGCAACAAATAACTTTTTTTACTTTTTATCTGGGCGGTTGGGTGGACACGTGCCCTTGTGCCCTTTAGTAGTTTATAAACTTGGATAATCACTCCGACACTAGAACCAAACAAAGAAAAAGCAGCCAAAATCTAGCGTGGCTTGGTCAACAAGAGCGACACCTGTATACAATTTAAAAATTTCTCGCAACGAAACTGCATTATCAAATCGAATTATGAGAAACGTTTATATTAAATTAGCATTATACATACGAGTATATAGATATATAGTTACCTAATTTTTGTTTTCTAGAAAATGCATTTTTTAAATAAAATTGATTTTTTTTTTAATTTTTGAAATGTGTTCTATTAGGATTCACTTAATATGCTTTTTAAAGGTTTTTAGTATATCAAACGTTACGGATTGCCAAGTACTGGCCGAGTGCGGTCTAAAACATTCAGTCCCGGTTCCGGAATTCCGTATTCTGGCCAGATTCGGTTAGAATGCGGCAATGCGGTAACCGGGAATACATATAGCGGGCTATAAGCGGGTCGGCTTGCGGCAAGCCGAGCCGCCAGTATACCGCCTAGGCCGAGAGGAGGCCGAGAGTTTGCCGACTGCTTCGTGCTTACTGGGGAACGCCGCGGCGCGCCGTGGTATAATATAATATCAATATATTATATAATTTGTATACAGGAACGATTTACAATACGATATTCGATTAATTACGATACGATATTCGATTCGATATTCGATTAATTACGTTACGATTTTTGATTCGATATTCGAAATACATGCGAATACAAGCTTGCTTGCGAAAACTGTAATTTAACACGATTCAGGTTATTATTACTATAAAAGGCTTCTTTCTAAATTTTATTTAGAATTAAGTGAGAGCTTATCGACCAAGGCAATTATTAGATTTTTACAGCTGACAAACCAGTTGATCCAAGAAGCAGCGTCTGCAACACAATTTGAAAACTACATTTATCAATCGGTAAGTGCTTATTTAATTGAGTCACCAAAAACACATTTACATTTACAGATCTGTATATATACCTACACTTTTATGGCAATCGTAAAATTAACCTTTTAATTCAAAATGACCGAAATCGAACAAAGACTAAGACTACTCAAAATAAAACTTAATTCAATTAAAGATGAGATAAATCATTTAAACTTTTATCTAGAAAATTATAATAAAGACACACAATTCGTTGAGTTGCAAATACGCCAAAATGTTGTAAATGACCAATTAATTCCTTATAGAAACCAATTGAAGTATTGGTTGTTATCAATAGGTCTGAATTGGACAGAAATTGGTTTTTAATGGTATTTTCCATGATGGAAAAGTCCGATTAGGATTGTACTGTTTTTTATTGGTTTCGATTGGTTAAAGCTACCAATAGGTAATTTCCAATTGAATTCAATTGTGCATTTCCAGTGTAGGATTCTAGAAAGGAATCTGTTAATTGGTTATTCCCATTTAAAATATGGAAAAGTCCAATTAGGATTCTACTGTTTTTAGTGGTTTCGATTGGTTAAAGATTGGGGTGTGTCATTTTTGAGCAACTTTTTTTTCAACTAAAAACTTTCAGGAAGGTGAAAAAAGAAGCCTCTAAAAATTTGATCTCTTAATAATAACATTAAGTGGTGCCTGTTCCTAACTTTCCATTTTCCATTTAAATAACATGGAAAAAAAAATATTTTTTCTTATTTTTGTATCTTAACATTTAAGCATTGTAAAAACGAACTGAAAAATTACTTTGGTAAGAAATTTAACGCAACTTGCAAATGTATGAAATTATGACTTTTATTTTATTAAACTAATACTTTTTTTATGTCTTAAAAATTATTTTAAGAAAAAATAATTATTTTCATACAGAAAGAAAATAACACTTACATCTGAAGCGGAACGTTTTATCTTATTTCGCTAAGGATAACTGTGGTACGCTACCGATCCCATAGGTGTCACTTGCAGTCCTTTTAAAAGGTTTTAGTTTTTGTGCCTTCTTTGAAAAAACATTTGTAAATTACGCTTCTTAAACAGTTGACTGCTGTGAGCTTAAACTAAATTAATTATATTTAACTTATATAATAGAATTTAACGTGGCCTGCGTCAGGTATGTAACTATTATTTTTCCAAGCTGTATTTGTATCAATTGCGGCGTTAAGCTGTTTTAGTTAATAAACACCACGTGAATTTGTAAAAGTGGTTTGGATTCTCGTACAAAAAACCTTCCTCAGCCAATCCGAACGGTCCTGTTACATCTTGGCGCCCAACTAGAGGCCCTTACAGGAAAATCTGCTGTAAGATGAACCCTCCATCACACACGTACAACACCCGTCAGGCAAGTGCAAGGAGGCTAAACATGGATAACCAAGATACGCCGGTAGGAGGATTATCTAACTTGTCATCCAACATCATACAAGGTAGGAGTTTTTCTCTTAATACGAACAACACGGCGTCAGATTTACATCCATCGCGAGAACCGCAGGCACCCCGGTTTAATGCAGAGGCGCCGCCGTATCTGCAAAACCAAGCGCCGGCTCAACCTATCAAGTACAATACCATCCGCCAACGTGGCGAGCAGAGGATTTAGCGAGGCTGGTTACCGAAACGGTAACTACAACATTAAGGGAGCTTAATATCAACGCGACTAATACCTCAAACAGCGATTCAAATAGTTCTCAAACACCTTTTAAGTTAGCATGGGAACTATCGAAAAAACTGCCTGTGTTTGACGATTCCGTGCATCCCATGGAATTTTTGCTGGATTTGGAAAACGGTTTTGAAGTACATAATATGTGTTATGACAAGTTTTCTTTTCTTGTAAAAAAACAGTTAAAAGGACCAGCAAGTACCTGGGCGTCCGCATATTTGGGTACGTTTAGGGATTACAGGGAGTTTAGAAACGCGTTCATAGATCAATTTTGGGATGATACAAAACAGTTATCCTTAAAAGTAAAACTTGAAACTGACAGATTTAAACGCGGTGAATCACTTGTGGAACATTTCAATCGGTATGTGTCAATATCAAGATATTTTGAACCCCCTTACACGCAAAAAAATATTATCAACCTTATTGCGCGTCACTATCCGCCTAATATAGCTACCTTACTAGTTGGGGTTGATAATTTTACACTTGCGCTGTCTAGGTTTAGAGAAGCTGATTTTTTCTATCAAGATCGACCGGCCCCTACGCAGTACGATAATAGGGCTGTCCCGTATGATAATAATAAAACGGGCCCAAGTTCAAATATTCCCGCAAAAAGGGTTTTTGAAAAATATCCTAGAAAAAACGTGTCAGCCTTGGATTTTGAACAACCCGGTACAAACGAAGTAGTATCGGAAAACGAATAATTTTTTCACCATGTGGTTCGGAGGTGGAAAAAATTAAATTAACGAACCACGTAGATAATACCAATATACTTCAAAAGCCTGATTTGAATTTAGTTAACTCGCCTGATAATTTAATCGAGGAGGGCACCACGAAACATGACAATGTTTTGCACAGGTCACCCGTTGTACAAATTAATATTTTTGGTTTTAACTTTGCCGCGTTGGTCGACACCGGTTCGCAAATTACATGCTTTTCGGAAAATATATGGCAGCAGTTAACTGACTTTCATCAGTTTATGCCAAATTTCCCGTGTACCGGGGTACGAGTAGTGGGTGCATTTAAAAGCAAACAAAGAAAAATTTTAAGGCAATGTTTTGTTTAATTTAAGCTTAATGATTTTGAATTTGATAACGAGTTTTTAATAATTTCTGATTTAGTTTCCCGGTTATTTTGGGCATTGACTTTCTACGGAAAGTTCAAGCAAATGTCGATGTTAAAAATAAAAAAATCCAATGTAAATTTAATGATCAGTTCGTGGAGATTCCCGAATGTTTACCGGACGGGAATTTTTACGAACAGGAAAATGTAAATATAAGAGTTATTTTACAAGAAAGTACTAGTAAAATGTTTCAAATATGAGCGCAAACTTTTACAACGTTGAATATGGCCGATGCTATTGTTAACGTTGACTTAAACGAACAACAACAAAATAATTTTCGGAATTTATTGATAGAAAATAATAATATTTTTTCTATGAAGCCCGGTTTAACAAAATTGTAATACCATGAGATTAAACTGGTTACGGATAAACCTATTTTTACAAAACCTTACCCGGTGCCCATTCAGCATCGGCAAGCGGTTCAAGATTTTATTAGTTTAAAAATAATCGAGAGGGCTTCAACGCCTTTCGTGTCACCACTTATGACCACCTTAAAAAAGGACGGAACTGTACGGTGTTGTTTGGACGCGCGCCGAATTAACGCAGTCATGCAAAAGGATTACGAGCGGCCCAAACCAATAACCGAAATTCTACGCACTATACCGGGTGTACGCTACTTATCATCACTTGACCCAACCAGTGGGTATTATCAAATACCTCTAACGGAGGAATCCAAAAAATATACCGGTTTTATGGTAGGCACCACCACCTATCAGTTTCGCGTACTGCCGTTCGGAATTTGTACAGCCGTATCGTCGTTTACTAGGTGTATTGATTCTTTATTTGGCTACGAATTTCAGGAGTTCATG